TGGCGCTAGGCTTACCGCACCGTGACGTCACTGCTGGAAGATGGCAGGAGGGAGGGGCTACTAGATTTGGAAAAAAATTCCTGTTCAGTTTTTATTTTTTTTAATGATGGACCCTAACTTCATCAATCACCACAAACGTATTAGTTTTAGGTATAAATAATGATCCATTGAGCATTCCTTGCTGTTTCTTTAAGAACTCTTTCTATCCTCTTCCATCCACTATGAACGGCAGCGGGAAATCCCCCACAGTCTGGCAGCATCAGAGAGCTTTCAGCGGGGATTACCAGCACTGCCTCCAAACAAGTAGTGCATATTTTAGTTGGATCATAATCCAGATAAACTGATGAACAGAGGATGGTTAGAGGTGGTCTTTCTTGCTGAAAAACATGCTAAAACTAAATTTCCAACTCAAAAAGTAAATAAAGCCATGCTGCTCTCTGGTTTGAGCAGATAAACAACCAGAGGAATCAAAGACACTGGGCCACCATTTGATCCAGCATCCAAATGTCTGTGTTTGTGCGTTTTTGATGCCCCTAACGCTTTTGGTGTGAACGCAGCATTAGGTGGATGCTTGTTTTATCTAAAAGACTTTTATTTCTATCCTACAATTGATTTAATCTGATATTGTTTAATGTATCCCTAAAATTTTAGTATTTATTTCAGTTTCACTATTTTGCTAAAGGCTTGCAATCATAAACTTCTGCCAGAGTTTATTAATGTCATCTCTGAATTACAATGACCGTTATTATTTTCATGAATGCATCATCAGTGATACAACTTCTCTCCATCTACAGTTAATTAAAATAATGCTACTAGTTTTCTGCATATCTAATGTAGAGGTCTTGGTTTAAATTGCAGCATATTGTCTCAGGTAGTGAGGATACCTGCTGGGCTGACCAGCAGGTATCCTCACTGTGGAAGAAGCCTGGACAAGCATTTAATGTCTGCATGACAGAGTCCCTATCGACACTGTAGAGAGGCTCCCCTGTGTGGTGGCTTGGCATGCCCCCCTACCCCCCCAGAAATCTGTGGGACGTGCTGTTTGGTCTTGACGTTACCTTGGGTACATGACAGTCAGCCCCAACCAGGCGCTGTTTGGGTTCGAGCCGGTTGCTCTCTGTTTTCTGCTCGGGTTTCTGAAGTGGAACTGGATAAAAAGCTTGAGGATGGTAACATGTTCCACTTTGACCTCTGGTGTGCGAACGGTGCAAGTCAACCTGCAGAGAAAGTGATGAGTTTTGCTCCAGTCCTGCCGGTTACTTTGATCTTTCCTCTTAGGTTGAAGCGAATGGGCAGAGTGGGAAGCTGGTGGTAAAGTTAAGAAACTTGGGTGAAAGTAAAGTTTAATTGGAAACCAGCTAAAATAATCCTTTTATATGATTTAACATGATCAAACTTAAAAACAAATTAAAGATGTTTTTTAAACCCATAAAAGTATTATATTATAAATGACTACATAAGTCATTCGGTCAATTTATCAAAACTGTTATTATCAACATTTACTAAATTTAAGACAAAATAATAACAATGCAGAAACAACAAACCTGGAAGGTACAGTGTTGCTTTAAGGAGCTGATTATCTGGCTTCAAAGAAAGTCTTGAAACTTCCAGACTTTCTACTATATATTTAAAGCCCACTGCATCCTTCACAGCGCCAGCTCAAAGCTTTTCCCCAAAACCTCCTTAAACTGAGACAACAATAATCCCATCATCAGTCGTTAACTACAATAACCTCAAAAAATGACTCATTAAAACTCCAAATTAAGTCCAAAAATATGCTTAAGCTGCTAAAATGTCAGTGATAACATGACATATGCAACAACAAAAAGTCACCAATGTGCAAAAAAAAAAAGAAAACAACTTCATTAAATGTGGAAAATTGCAGTTTCATCAAAACAAAACAAAATATTGAGTCCAAGATAAGAAAATGATAAGAAAGTATTCCACCCTGGTTTATCCTCCAGCTAGCGTTCATTATTCACCTGAAATCAGTCGGTCAAAATATAACTAAGAAAAAAGCCAAAATAAGGGCTTTGAATAAATAAAAAGTAAATGGTTCCAAATTTTTCTGAAAATGAAGTAATTTTTATAGATAAAAAAACAGATAAATCATTAAAACAATGGAAACAATAAAAAGGGTTTTGACAATAATGTTCTCTGCTTGGTTGCCTTTTAAAAAAAGGAGCCCTTTTTAACAATGTTGTTACGTTATTTATCCTCACAGATAAGAAGACTTTATAAAGGATAATTAAAATCTTACAGTCTAATTACTGTGTTTGCTAAAATAACACTAGATGCCAGAAAAACATTCTTTAGGGAGAAATTTTAATTTACTCCATTTGGATCATTTAACTATCTGAATTCAAATGCTGTGGGAACATCAGACGCGGGTTGACCTGATAAATTTCGTGATGCCATTGAACGCATCGTACGGACGTCAATCAGTCGCTTCTGATCTAACAAGCAGAAATAACTCTGTTTACATTGGATAAACATGGAGCAGCTCTGGTGAGCGGGACTCAGACAGAAACAATAAAGAACACTGACTACGCCCTGGCTTCCTTCCATGTCGCTCTCCATTGTTTACTTTCCTCCAAATGCCGATTGTTAACAAGTCAACCCATGTTTGAAAATGGTAAATGGCCTGTACTTATATAGAGCTTTTTCAAGTCAGGAGACTTGACCAAAGTGCTTTCACTACATTCAGCCATTCACCCATTCACTGATGGTGCTGAGCTACATTGTAGCCACAGCTGCTCTGGGGCTCAGTGACAGAAGCGAGGCTGCCGTACCCTGCCGCCACCCGGCCCTCTGACCACTATCAGTAGACAATGCATGTGAAGTGCCTTGCCCAAGGAAAAAACGACACTGAGAGCCGGAGCTTGAACCAGGGCTTGAACCATCAACCCTTCAATTACAGAGCAAACTCCTACATCAACGCGTCTGTTGCCCCTGCATTAACCTACGTTAACCCGGTATTTTCAGTGGGAAAGAGGCTAAAGTGTGTAAAGCTAGTTGATTTAGCTCTAGCCCTAATTCTGCTTCATCCATCGAATGGATCTCGTTAAAACGAGGAGCAGCCATTGTTAGCCCAACCTGAGTGGGTCCTTTGGAAGGAGAATAATAACCTCACTACTATAGCTTTCAATCACTCCATTGTTTCTGTCCTGCTTTCAGAGCAGAGTCTGTGCCTTCCAGCAGCAGTTATTAAGGTGAGGCGGTGTACACCCCGATTCCTGAAGGAAGCCAGAGTACCCAGAGAGAAACCAAGCATGCAGAGACAGAACATGTAGAAGGGACTTGGATGGGATTTGAAACAAGGACTTTCTTTTTGGTCATTTCTGAGCAATTTAAGCTCCTCGGGATAAACTTTAAAAAACATGAACCGGATCAGTGGGATCTGTTCTGTTTCGCTTTGCTGGAGTCCTGTTCTATTTCCGAGTCATACTGGCTGTAGAGATAACAAAAAGACGCAGGCGCCGTTATTCCTGTGGCAAATATAACTGTAAACACTGTACTATCAACTAACTGTCAACATTTAAACAAGACAGAACCTGTACAAGCTTTATACACACAGTCAGCTTATAGCACATACAGGTCAGTTTCCCTGGGATCGCTGAGAACAGTGTGCTTCGTCTAATCTGCTTCTCCAGTGTCTGGAACAGCAGAGCATTGTTAGCCATCCCTCCCCCCCCACCAGTCAGCTCACTCAGGGGACGATAGGAGAGAGAGTTTGATGAGAAATGAGGGAGCAAATGGAGGATCAGAGCACAGAGTTCTTAACCTTGTATCTTCTACTCTATCAGCTTTCCCTCTTGGTGAATGTGCAAACCACCTGCCTTCACCTCCTTAAGCTGCTTGAGTATAAAAATGATGATATAGGGCCTACTTACTTATAACACCTTCACACTCACTGGCTCACTCAGATATCCTCATTTATGAGCTGCTTATTCTTTCCAAATAGTTTGAACTCAACCAGCACTTAAATGGAACTGATAGGTAAAAAGTGACAATAAAAAAATGATGAATGAAGCTAAATATGATCAATCTGTGAAAACTATAAAAAAAAACCTGCAACTCCCTCAATAAATAAATCTGTACACATTAGAAACATTTAGCTTTCTTATTTCTAATGTGAACCTTTTACCTAATCTAAGATTCATTTCAATCCTTGGTTCAAAGTAGGGTTTAACAGTTAATTGGATTAGTCAATTATTGAAATACTTTTCAACTAATTTAGTTATCAATTAATTGTTAACTTTATATTTAAGGAGTATAGAGATTGTAAAATATGCTTTTAGCTGACAGAGAAATCCAATTAGAGCAGTAATTAGGTCAAAATTATAAGAGAAATATGTAATATATTTTTAATTTACGATAAAAATGGTCAATATTCTCTATTTCGAGCTCCTCAAGTGGAAAGGTTTTAGTTCCCCCTGGTTTCATTTTTCAAAAAAAATCTTCCATAAACCAAAAAATAATTGACAGATGAATTGATTTGCAGAAAATGGTTAGTTGCAGTGGTTCAGAAGAGGTACTTTGGTGAAATAAGCAGTTGTACGAAAAACCGTTTTATCGTAAAACTATATAAACAATGCAATTTTTAACCATTTAACAGATGGTTTGTGTCTGATCTGACTCCATTCAGCTTATGCTCTGTAACGGCTCCGCTGGTTCTTGATCATTTGAACGCATGAATGAACCAAGAACCAATCCAGCAAATGTTTACCTGTAGAAGAGGCATGGCCTGATGGACACGGCTTTATCCGGTCAATAAAAACTGCCATCAGGCCCCATCAAGCTGCCCTCTCTGCCCATTTGTCTTCTTCGCATGAATTCTAAAGATAGCAGATGCTCTGGCTTGGCCTGGTCTAGCTGCAGCCGGCTCCCTCTCCCACTCAGCCTTACCCAGCCTTACCCCATCCTCTGTTCCTCTCACTCAGGATCTGAGCTCATGCCAAAAGCCCTCTCGACCAGAATTGTGGGAGGAATTTGGTGGTTTTTCACTCTCATCATCATCTCCTCCTACACGGCAAACCTGGCAGCTTTCCTCACAGTGGAGAGGATGGAGTCCCCCATTGACTCTGCTGATGATCTGGCCAAGCAAACAAAGATTGAATATGGAGTGGTAGAAGACGGCGCCACAATGATATTTTTTAAGGTAAGCTATGACTTGAAATCTCCCGATTGTCATATAATGTTACTTACATAAAAGTACAGATACTGGTGTGAAAAAGACAAACAGTAAACATGTGGAGTAAAATCTTTAACTTAAGTCAAAGTTAAAACTAAAGATTCTACGTTGTTCATAAGTATGAGATAAAAAATTACGTTTTTGCCTTTAATAATAGATAATAACTTAAATACTATTCAATCCATACAAATTATGTTAAAGAACATAAATCTGACTAAGTTGGTCTAGTTTAGTTCTTGTCATGAATTTATCTAAAGCTCGGACCCACATGCAGTGAAGCCCAACAGAGAGACAGAGTAAAAGTTAGAACGGGTTTTATTGAAGAGTATTTTGAGTTCAGTGCAGAGTTCCTCCGAACTCTGCTCCTCCGGGAACTGGAAGACGAGGGGAAGACAGACTGTTAGATTCAGGCTCAGTGGGAAATTGGAGTTGTTGATCTTGAAGGAGAGGATTTGTTGCAACTCACGTTTCCAGAGAAGAAGAGACACGTAGACTCCAGTCTGTGTGTTGGTCTTTCAGAGTTTGTTTGATTTGGTGGAGGGCAGAACAGGGTTTACCCAGAACTCGGACGGAGTGGAATGATGCAGCCGCTGGTTGCAACTCAGTTTTCCTGTGGTACTTGAACGGGTCGTGGTGAAGATGACTTCCTTACTCAGAGAGGGATCTCAGCATGCTCAAAGGTGGCTGGATCCAAACCTCCTGTTTGGAATCCGTTGCTCAGTGTAAGACTCAGTTGATCCCACTTGGGAGGAGGCGGTCCGGAAAGGTCCAGTCTGCAGAAAGTCTTCCTGCCGAAAGGCAAAAACAAACAAAGTTTTGTCTCAGGGAGAAAACAAGCGCTCAGTTAAACTCAATGTGATCTCAGCTTGGCTAGAGAACTAAAGCTCAGGATACAAAAACTCAGATTAGACTCAGCATAACAAGGCTTGGCTAGAGTGCCCCTAACTGGCAAACACTCTGGCGTTGAAGTAGTGGCAACCAGCAGCTTAAGAGCAGTCCGGTGATGAGGCAACAGCTTGCAGGTGTGTGAGGAGGCGAACCGGAGCCAGGCGCCTCCTGGTGGTGGAAGGGAGAAACACAAAAGACAAGACAAACAGACGAACACAAAAACTGGGATCCTGACAGTTCTGAATTCGAGTCTGTGATAGGATAGTATAAATTAAACTGAAGATGTTCAGCTGAATGCTTTTAAAGCTCTGATATTTATCACAGCACTGAAGCTGCTAAACTTTTAGAAGTGAAAATAGAATCATCAACATGTAAATTATTAACGTTATAAAGGTGAAATTGATGAGGAAAGTCTTGCAGCTCAGGATCGGATCTGTTATCTGCAGTGTTTCCTCAACAAACTGACTCCAACTTAACAGATTCACCTTCTGCTCTGAGGTTCGTTCTTCTGTGTATAGAGATAACGATTCAGTAAAAAAGAACCAATATTTTTGATCAAATGTAGGAAAAGTAAGAAGTTTTCAGAAAAATAAATACTCAAGTAAATTATAGATTCTACGAAAAGCTACCCGAGTAAAGTAACTGTGCATGCACTACAGACAAGCTTTCCCTCTCGCCTCGCATACTTTAGTTAGTTTAAAGAAATTCATGTGCATAAAAAATGATTCTCCAACATTAAGTTTATTTATTTATTCCATTTAATTTGTACAACGGAGTATTAGGGTCAGGATAGAGATCTCTTTTTAAATACAAGAATTTAAGTCATAATATGATAATGAAAATATAATAATAAAAATTATATGATTATATTAATAAAGTAGTATTTTATAACATTCCCTAAAACGAGGAATGTCGAGCATCTTGGGAAGTTATACTTTTGCATCAGATTCACAAATAAGGAAATATTCCATCTTTTAGCGCCAGCATCACATTATTATCAGTATATTCTGGTCTTAGCATGCTGAAACGTTCTTTCTGAAACGGGTTGTGGTATGATAATTTG